ATTAAAATGATTCCACGGTAGTGATCATTATCAAATGTCCAATGACACAATACAGATTCTGAGCCGAGCCGAGAGGGAATGTCGCTGTAGGCGATATTTTGTAGATTCTTTGGTCGTTTTAACGACCTTGTTGGCAAATCTAAACTACTATTGGGTCGTATTTAACCTGACTTTTTTCATACCAATTTTTACGCCTTTTAGGTAAACATTCTCTTGTTCATGCAACTGGAAGACATAAATTCAATATGCGGGTGCTATTGCTATATTGCTTCATAACTCAGGGAGGTTAATGGAAAAGTGATCACATATGCTTTTGCTCTATATTAAAACATCCAAATATGAAATAGATGTGTCAGACTCTGTTTCCAGGATGGGATATATCAAATCAAATTAAAAATGAAACTTATCATCGTTAATTGATAAGACGTCGTCGATATATCTAATTTCGAATTGGGGGCCAATAGGAGACTTTTTTTTTAATGTAGAAGTGAATGCAAGTGTCGTTCAATAAGTAATGAAACATGTCATCTAAAAATACAACAAGCACGCAATGCATATATTCTTACAAGTTTTGACTGACAAAGGCATATTGAAAACGTTAAACAATATTTTTATATTGAAGGGATGTATGGTACACCAGGGTTCGATGTGGGTGTGTTTGCAGCTTTCTTCATAGCAACAATCACATCGATAATCGATTCTATCGCCGATTATTATGCAGCTGCACGAGTTGTACGCGTCCCTTCACCGCCTGTCCATGCTATAAACAGGGGTATTTTGACAGAGGGTTTCATGAGTATGATGGCAGGCGTCTGGGGAGCTTCGCACGCAACAACAACGTACGGTAGCACCATAGGGTTCATCGCTCTTACAAAGGTTATTAGCATTTTTTACGTACATGTAAAGACTTTCAACTACCTTATGACGTTTACTTGTCACAACGTATCTTAAAGCCAGGCCCGTAAGGAGCAAATTTAGTTGGGGTACAACCGAGAAACCCCCCCTCCCCGGTTCCTACGGCCATGAAGGTTTACCGCTCAGTTTGCGTGGCACAGTGGTTAGAGCGTTTTTCAATTAATAAATTGATCCTAACATCGCAGGATCAAATCCGAAATGCGGGAAGTGAAGATCCGTCCTGCTTTTGAGACCGTATAACCTTAGGTCTCCTTCATTGTAGCTCCTGGCACAAAAAAATGAAACGACCCTTTACTGCTTAAAGACCAAAAGTGTCGGGTCTAAATTTACAGCTCTCCAAATGCATTTGGCAGTGTCTCAATTAAATGTCTTTCTCAAGAAAATCATCTTATCTCAACTTTTGTGGTGTCTTTCATTTCAAGATCAGTATAATACATCGAATAAACGTAGGAATAAAAACTGATTACCAGTATTGATTATGCTGTTGACTAATCGTCATCGATATACATGTACCGTTATCTAAATTTTGAAAGGTAATTTAACCAGTTGAGTATCAGTGCATGTTATAAACCAGGAAATCAAAAGCATCAGTATAATTACTATGTCGAATAGTATAAAACTAAGGGAATGAATTTATTTTGTTGCATATGGCAAATTACTTTGCCCGTGAAGTAAATAACATATTCACTACTTGTCTATATTAAAGAAAAACTGATTGGATGATCTACAAGCCCAGACAGCTCAGCATTACGTTAAGCTACAATTCCTTATTAACAAGTATTACTCTTGGGGATTTAAAAGTAAAACCATTGACACTTTCAGTACTACAGTATGCTAGAGGTTCACGGCGAGATACTGTTAACTTGGCTCCGCGTCATAGAAGGCGCATAGACACGTCAAACTCACGCTTTGTCACTTGTGGGAATATAGGTAATCTAGTGGTGGGATCCTTGCTTCGTGATCGGAAGTCGGGGTTCGATTCTCGTACCCTGCGCTGCATTTAACCAAAAAAAAATAACCCCTTAGTATAACTGTTTCATTGATCCTGAGTGCCGTGTAAAGGTCTAAGTTTGAAGCCCTTCACCGGTATTGGTGACGTCTCTTATCAATGAAAAATTCTTGAAGGGGCTATTAAACAACAAACAATCAATCAATCTCAGAGAAAATGTGTAGCGAGAGAAGCTTAAAGCTCTTGTCACTCAATTTTACAATGTTATCTGTTTACATGTATTTCATTTTCAGGTTGCAAGCAGAAACGTTTTTCAACTTTTAGGTCTCCTGTTGATGGTTCTTGGTGTACTTGGTAAAGTCACCAGCGTCTTCGTTACTATTCCATACCCCGTAGTGGGCGGATTACAGGTGGTGGGGATAGGATTTTTTATTGGTCTTGTTTTCGGAAATCTTCAATACATCGACATGAATTCTACAAGAAATCTGGCAATTATTGGACTTTCTATGCTGTGGGGCCTTGTCATACCATACTGGTCAAAAATAAAAGGCGATGAGGTCATCAATACAGGTAGTCATATATAACTATGCTAAATATAATACCTGTGTGAGAATGAGAAAAAAAAAGTGTTTTGGAGGGATAATTTTGTTAACTGACTTAAAAATATTTTGTTCACCAAATGATATCTAGTAAGTTTTAGAAAATATTTTTCAATCGCTCTAATCATAGCATGCAATAATAAAAAAAATCGACATAAACTGCATGGCTCTTTCATGACAAAAAAATTGCACCGTGTGTTGATGCATTTTAAAAATAATTTCATAACAAATAGTGGCATTTTAAAATGAACTTATCTAGATCAACTACATACTCGATCATGAACTTAGGAAAGTGAATATTGAATTTGTATCTGACTTAAGGTAGTGTAGATGCTGACAATTTACTGAAGATGCTTACAAGGAACCCTAATTTTGCCGGATTTCTTATCGCACTCATTCTGGATAATACAGTACCAGGTGAGTATAATGTAATGTACTTAGTTTCCTTGTTACCAATTACGCGATATATAGCAGATTTTTTTTTGAATATACAGTTTTAATTAATTATATAAATTGATATCATTACAGTTTATGATAGAACGAACTAAAAATAAAGCAAAGTCTTGCGATTTGATTAAATTATTCGTTACCAAAAATTGAATTTACATTATCAGTCATACTCTTTATATTTTCTACTTAGAGTATATCAATATTGCTACATCTATAAAAATGTAATTCCATTTCAACTGAAGTCTTTGAAAACATCTTTAAAATTACTTGTATTTTCTAGACTGGAATCTTTATTCACGTATAATAGATTGTTACATATTTTAATCATGTGTTCTCTAATGGATAAAAGGAACATTTAAAGAACGAGGAATGGCCGTGTGGCAAGCAGGTGGCCAGGAAGACGAAGGCGTGGATCAAGAGAAAAATCTAGAAGAGGGGCGAGAGGTGTATGATATACCAGCTCTAACAAAATACTTGAGAAAGTATCGGATTTCAGCGTACATTCCATTTTTACCGACATACTGTCCAAAAACTTCTAAAAAGTCAAACTGATGCAGTGTTTTCTTAACCTGAAACTGAATTAAAAAATTGTAATCTGATTGCGTATTTTTCTTCATTTTGATGGAAGATACTTATACAATTTACTCTACATGCTACCTACTCTTTCAAAAGGGTGTAGAGTTTGTTCCAGATAAAATCTACGTTTTAAATAAAAATACACTGAACTAAATTTCTAAGTGTTCACCTAAATTTTTTTTAGTTTTAAAGAGCAAATGTATACAATGAATAATTTCTTTAATTCATGGTAAACGATGGATATTTCAGTTCCATGTTGCGTAAGTTTCATTCAAGTTTTTCGTCAGAATTTTAAGCAAAGTGTCAAGAAAATGATGTACCCTCAAAATAAAAACTCACACAAAAAAATTTCTATGGAGTAAGACCACCACTCGCTTTAATTACTGCAAGACATCCTTTTACTGTTGGATACCATGTACATGTACCCTTGAATAGGAGATTGACACATCTACTGCATAGATCTTTCCAAACTGTTGAAATTGTGTGGAGCGGGGTGGCTTTGACATTCCTTATAAAACTCCCAAATGTGTTCAATGGGATCTATATCTGGGGATTTGACAGTGCATCATCACACAGAAGCCTTTTGGTCAATATCCTTTGACGTTTAGTACGTAATTGCACCGCTTAAAGGATGATTCAGACTGCTTCAGACGATATTAGACTGCCAAGAGCACAGCACCGATTTCTTATCATTTTCATACGAATGAAATTGTTTGTTTTCATGTTTCTAAGATTGTTTAGGGACAATTTAACACTCTTTTAATCTGGTGTGACGCGAAACCTTGGCCTCAGACGAAGATCAAGGGCATTTTCGGTTTGGTTAAATTTTTTCCAAAGCTTTCAAATTGTAATAAATTGGCGATGAAAATGACGCACAGTCTATAATTAAATGTGTGTTTAAATGGGTTTTGATACTGGTTGTTCATTTTTAAAATGTAAGATCAAGGACAATTAAAAACTAAAATAAAAGTGAGTAATACGTGGTGCAAGGATAATCAAGATACATGATTCAAGATGTATCTACATTCCAACGGCCCTCCCTTCTTTCTCAATGGTCATTTTGCCAATGTTTTGTGTTTTTTAGTGAAACCAGTGTTTAGAATTTGATAATGATCAAAGTGTATAGTCTAAAGAGTACAGAAAATACTTGGTAGAGCATTCAATGAAGCCTTCTATGTATCTCGGTTTATAAGAATTGTTATGAACTTCCGGAATTCAATATACATGTAGTAGTAATTAAAATTCATTTTGGTTGTTGAGAATATAAAAAAAATTAAAACAAATATATGCTTTTGAAGAATTTCCTCCGTAAAAAAGGGGCCAAGGGTATTAATTGAATTATCACTTGTAGAATTAAATCTCAGTTCCTCTAAAATGCATTTTTAAATAATGAACCCTAAAAACAAAGACAGTGTAGGCAGGACCCAGTACATACGGGTCGTCTAAATCGATTCTAGTTTTAGACGTTCTGTGAAATCACAAAGTTTCATGGGTGTTAATTTTCGCTATTTTCAAGGTATGAAGAGACCCACGAATTTATGTCCACCACGAAATGTAAAATTATTACTTTTATAACTATTCAACAATTCTTCATCCATGAATTCAAATATCCACGAACCGAGAGTTTTTACTCAAACCCAAAAATATGTGATTTAACAGTATTCCTTGTGAAATTGTACTTTTTCATTTAATGTTATAAATTAAAACTCGGTCATTAATAGTAAAAAAAACCCAGTATGAATATAAGTTCAGTGTTATTAAAAATAAATCATATTTCACAAATTGATTTTTAATACATAATAGTTGTGACAAAATAATCACAGATTTAAGGTAGGATTCTTCTCTGGTTTCTGACTTGATGAAATATTCAAAGTTTATTTGCTACTATGTCTTATATATTTAGGTGTAAGAGATTTAAAAGACCAAATATTTCTTTCCTCATCACAATTCTACAACTTTAAATAGAAATGGTAAACGTCGTTTGAAAACAAGCAGGGACTATATTTTTGGTGGAATGGTGGCGTAAGAAAATATCTTCTTTTCTTCCTCTCAAAATTATTATAGGGTAATGAATTAGTTATTTTTACCCAATCAAAGACTTGAAGAAATTTTCAAATGTAAGTTAAATTAATAATAAGGGACTATTTCAAACTATATCAAATAAAAATAAGATTTTTCAAACAAACTAGAACTATGTTGGCTTTTAAATGCTTCAAATCTAAGTACAGATTAGAGGAAAAATCCGTAAAAAAGTGTTATTTCTCTCTTAGTAAACGATCAAAAATTTTTGTTTTTGATTCATTTTGTATCTTTATGTGACAACTTTACAATATGTGAAAATGAGAAAAATTAAAATAGAAAGCCTGTAAAAATAACCACTGTATCTTAATTGTATCTTTATGTATCTTCAATGTATCTTTATGTCGATTTGGTTATATCCTTTTATAGGCCCTATATAGAAGTATCTTTTTATGCAACCCCCCCCCCCCAAAAAAAAAAAACATTCAATCTTTTGAAATACGAGTAGGGGTCACATGAAGTAAAAGATTTTTTAATTCTTAATGTCCAGGGAAAAGGTAATGACCTTGACCTGACCTTGCTTCTAATATAAAACGGTCAAATTTAATCTTAGTGATGCCATCACTTAGTGATATTGTCTTCTTGATTCTTTGAAAATTTCATTAATTTTTAAATACAAGAAATGTGAGAAGAATCCTACCTGAAGCAATCATCTTCTATATCTAAAATTGTGATTTTAAATGCACTTCTTCAAAAATTTTCACTACTTCAACTGTTCAAGCTGGATTCACAAAGTTTGCTTTTATTGGTTAAATTCTATAATGTAGAAAAAATTTGTTAATTATTCATTATATTTTGTTACATTTTATGGTAACATGTCTCTCGATGTTCTTTGAAATTTATATTGAATTCTTGGAAATATACAAGTTCGTTGAAATCTTATAATTACGTGAACTAACCCTAAAAATGATAACTATTAATTTTTTACTATGTTAACTAATTAAAGCATTAAAACAATTGTTTTATATCTTAATATCCAACTGAAGACAAAAATACATATAAAAAGCATAATGAACTACTTGTTGGAATAAAACATATAGGGAAAGCAAACTATTGCAGAATAAAACAAGATTCTTAATTTTTTGTAAATACATTTCATTCTTTCAAAATCTATTTATGCTTCTAAAATCCGAATATATGCGTACTACAATTTGTCTCATATTTCTTTTCTTTTTTTTGTGCCTCTATTTCTCGGAGTAGTAGTAGCACTCATCTGCTGGTACAGAGCTGAAGGTATCTCCGATATCTTTCATGATCTCCTTAAATGTTGGTCTCTGTTTTGGTTTTGCTTGCCAGCATTGCATCATCAGCTTGTAATAGCTAAAAATTACACATAAATATTGTTGGGTTTTGTTGTTTTTTTCTAAATATTTTTGTTAATACTTTTAACATTTATGCATGTTTTAAAATTACTATAAACTAAAGAAAAAGTTTAAATTGTTGATAAATGATGTTATCATGATTACAAATCTGTTGCAAATTCTGGTTTTTTCATTCTATGGCCGTTTTGTAATTCTTCTTTGATATCTCGGCTTCGCATCCCAGGATAAGGACTGTCACCTAAAAAGAGAAGGATTGATTGATTGATTGCTGTTTAACGCCGAGTCGGCAATATTTCAGCCATATTTTGGAAAAAAAGAAAGAAAATGGGGATCATAAAACTATGAAACTATAGCTAGCCTTTCCTATTACATTGATCTGTTTATAGCATATACATGTATATTAAATTTCTCAATACTATATCATTCTATACCTAAGCTGAAAATCTCCCAAACAACGATGCCAAAAGACCAAACATCACTTTTATTTGTTGAAGCCTTCATCGAAGTCAAGCACTCTGGTGCTGTCCATTTGATTGGAATTCGTTCCTTCAAGAGACAAAAAAAAATAAATGAATTGATTTTCGTTGAGTTTGCTTATATTCACTAAAATAATCCCCGTGCAAAAGATGGACCAAAAGTAATATCACTACTCCTTGAAATCTTTAATGATGATTATTCATTTCAAAAAGTTGGCACACTTACAATGAATATGTCTTTTCAATACAACTTTATCCAAATATTATTCACCTATTTTTATCATATTAAAGCTAAATACTGCCCTCTGCACATGTTTATTTTCGCCGACTGATTGAATAGGTATGATGATACTTTTTCAGAAGGCATCATCAGTTATCCAAATTAAAATTCATTAAATCTATCATATGGTTTAACTTTCATCTTATTTACATCATGAATACTCTCTTCAAACTCTTTTTTGTCTATTTTGTAATTTTTTTTTCACTGACGTATGAATAGAAACATAATTTTTGCAAAATCTTTTCTAGTGTTGATCAAATGAGGTTATATTATTTTCCAGTCTCTTATTTTGTTGGTCTTATAGGAACTCTTAAAATATGCTTTGGAATTTACAACTAATAATAAAGGAAAGATACAGGGATGAAATATCCATACCTTGTCAACAGATTTTGTATCCCCATCTTCATCATTATTCTCTTTTTGAGGTGGTTCGGGGCCAAATCCACAGATCTTTGGTTCCAATTCCTCTGTTAACAATACATTTCTCGCCGCAAGTTTTCTATGGACAATCTTTATTCAAAATATAATTTAAAAATGATTTATCTACATATAAGTGGTATACTGTATTAAAAAAAAAAATAAATGAACTTTATTCTTGAGAACCTGCTTTGTTTCCAGATGACACATTCCTTTCGATATTCCGTAAATGATACGGCAAAGTTGTTCAACGGTATCTTCTGTGGTTGCGTTCTTCTGCTGCAATAACCAATCCCTTAGCTGGCCTTTCTCGCACAACTCCAATATCATATATGGCCCCACTATCGTAAAAATATATTGCAAGTGCAGTAAATAGAAAAGATGATAAAAAGTAATATGAACGAACTGATGAGCACAGAACTTACATGAACTGTTGTCCACAACTGCACCTATAAACAGTAGGATGTTTTGATGTTCTCCAACTTGTCTTCCTAAAAAATTGATTTTCGCTTTCATCATCAGCTCGTTTTCTTCCGTATAACCACCTGCAAAAATAAATTTTGGTTTTATCTCTTTTAAATTTTAGATTAAAACTGTTCAAACAAAGAAGAAAATATAGAATGATATCTTTATTTCCATAAATTGATAATAAAAACAAACTAAAAGATAGCTAACTTATATTTTTCATATTACATGTATGTTGTTTCAAATTAATCAAGTCTAAGTATAATCACTTTTTAAAACCTTGGCCACGACAACTCCTCTTTCGTCGGTATTTTTCTTGGATTTGTAAATGGCTTTATATATATCTGCGAATCTTCCGCTTGTTATAAGAGATTCTAGTACTATTGTGGACGACGGTAAAATCCAACTGTCCGTTGCATTAAATTCCATTTGCCCATAAATATAGATATCGTCGTCAAATGCTCTGTTCTGAAATTGTTAATCACAGTGATAATTTTAATTTTTTGGAAGATCTAAACAAAATACACAAAAAAGCGCGATAATATCCATTAAGGTATGTCACTCGTCAGCTTTTTAGAAAAGTTCACGCAGAATCTCTTACTTCCAAACTATTTGTTCTAATTCAATTTTTTATATATAGTATACTTAAATTCAACAACGTAAATTCAACTTTCAATGAAAAAAAATGCTCAAAAATCCATAAATTAACAAGATTTATGGGGGACTATTTCTTGTGGTGGAAGGATGTTTGGCAGAAAATTCTCCAATTCTGCACATTCATTAAATTTAATATCTTGGGACTTAAGCCTCACATACTTTGACTCGGAGAATATTTTCCGTTATGATATGCTAGGAATATTTAATATAGGTCTAAATTCATTTTTAGAACAAATTTTACAACTTCATTTATCAAAGTTTGCCGAGTAAAGAAAGTTAAGATAAAATGTTCACTGTTTTTTGCCTGAAAATCACATATCTTGACAAGTATTTCAAAATTAACATTGCTACACTAACCTCTCTTTCATGCCTTTTTATTGAATTTCAGCACAAAGAAGAAATAAGTACGGAGCAACAGGATCTCCTTGTCTACAACCCCTTTGGATATCAAATAGTTCTGATAAAAATCCGCATTGCAAAACTGATGCTTTAAAATTTTTGTTAAGAATTTTTATCCAACTAATTATATTATTACCAAAACCAAAATATTTCAATACTTTATAAATAAAAGACCATGAAATTGAATATTTCCAGTTTGTGTGTCGGAAATCAAGAGATCCAGAGTAGATTTTATTCTGTAACAAGATATTAGTTTATAAAGTACAAAATTTTTCAAAAAATCACCTTTGTATACATGAAATTACAAATCGCATAATGTAGATTTTAAGATCACTGAAAAATTTAAAAAATAGTGACATTTGTAAATAAGGCAGTGCAGATTCTTACCTCGTGTGCCGTGGAAAAACGATTGTTGATCTTATAATATGTCCTTGTAATTTTTCCTTTCTTATATTTTCAAGATCTAATTTCTTCTGTTCTAATGATTCTTTTTCTAACAACTGTAACTCGCCTCTGTATGCCTTCCCTAACAAGAGATAGACGACCCATTCTCCACAACACTATCATAGTTATAACACCTCCCAGGAGAAGGATGATGACTAAAAAGAACACATCGATGTATTCGTACAATAAACACTGTAAGAAGTTGCATTGCAAGAGAGGGAAGTACTAGTAACATGCATATATGTGAGTTTTTTTATTTACCAATAGAAATCCCTGCAATTGCTCCTCCTGTCAATCCAGACGGTGCTTGGAGTGTGGTGAATGATAAATATATAGGGTCGCTTTGTTGGTCATCGTATTCTGTGATAAATGATAGATTATAACTTGTTTCGGAATCCAGTCCGGTTAGGTCGAACCAGTCGGCATCCTTGTCAATGAATCTTGAGAAACTTCGTCCATCTGATGAATTGTACTGAACAACGATTTTGGAGCGTTTGTAACAACTTGGCGCAACGATCCATTTTAGCCGAACACCATTATCATATGTTTTGTCTATATGTAGATGCATTGGACCAGAATCTAGTGAAAATAGTACATCGTTTAAAAAAAAAAACCGGTATGAGTGCTTTTTTGTTACAGAATTAATTCAAATTCTCCCTCTCTCTTCATGATGTATTCCATATTTCATTATTGTAAAATGGGAGTTTTTGAAAAATGGAAATGAAAAAAAAAATATCCACAACAAAGTCATGCTTTAATGAACTGAATGAGAAAGGTGTGAGTTGTCAACTGGGTCAACACCCTCTCAGAAATGCAGAGAGCTGATCTAACAAATCCAGAGGCATACAATTTTGTTCATTACTTATTCATAGATCTAAATTTGAAGGATTGCATTGATTTTTGTTGACGTATTCAAGAAGTGAAGATATTTTGCAAGGGGTGTGAAACAATAATCAATCAATTAATTTTTTTTATTTATTAAGATGAAACTTCAGTACGACTGTGCAGGTAAGATTATATGGTTTTCTTTTTTTTTTTTTTTTTTTTTTTTTTTTTTTGTTTAGCGGTACTTTTTTCAAATTACATTAAAAATGTATTTTTAAAATTTTTTAATAGAGAACATTGTATCATTATTTCTCTTTAAAACTTACATTCGTCCATTCCATCAAGAGATTTCAGGTCCGATATCTGAAAGAAGTGAATTTTTTATCTTCAGTTTGTAGAAAAATTGTTTATTTGCTTATATTTTGATTTTTTGTATATTGAAGCCATTAATGCTTTTTGCAACTTACCGTTGTGTTAAAACTAATGGATTTCATTGCCATGTTAGATACAATTAATTCAAGCAAAACAGACTCTGTGGGAAAGTTTTCTTTTGACACAACCATCCAACAATTATTTACATCTAGGAAATGACTTATGTAGAAGTATTCTCCAGTAGCAATTTGATATCCATTTCTAAGTCCAGGATTGTTCTGTTGGAAAACAAAGTTATTTTCTAACGTTTATCTCATATCAAAATGCACATGTTTGCTTAAATGGGAAATTACTACTAGTATATTGACATGGTCGCGAAAAAATCCAATGGTTTATAAAAAACATATCAACGCCATTCAAAAAACGAAAATATGCACAAATCAAAATTGTTATTGAATATACCAGAGTTTTGTTTCCAGTAATATTCCCAGATTTAAATACAATTCCACTGTCTTTTGCAATCAATCTCCAATAAATTGTAGCAATTCCACTTTCTACGTCACTCACATCGATCTGTAAACTGAATAAGAAACCAAAAACCCGAAGTGTTAAAAAGGCAATGATGAACAATACGAAACCTAAGGGCCACATTGCACACCAGGACTATTGAAAGGAAAGCCAAAATCATTTCAGTATTAAAAAGTTTTAATATACGTTAGTGTGGTTCAGGTAAATCGTTTTAAAAAGCTAGTGTGAAAAAGCTTAACAATTAACATAAAAAACGTCAGCCAGTATTTCACTTAATAAAATGTTGTAATTGCTGACTTTTTCAATATATCCACCATAAAATTTGCGAAATGCCAAACGGGACTGTTGGTATCCCTGCTTCAGCAACTTATTTGTCTAAAGCTTACCTCATTATAGGACCTATGCATAACAAATTAAATGGAGACATACACCCCATATTCAGGTGATAGGGATCTAGGGATCTAGTTCTATGTAAGTAAGGCGATGGAAAAGTTAAAGACATCATGTTTATCATAAAGTTTTGTTGTCAGGTTATACATCTTTTTCATATGACTATTCGATTCTCGAATGTTCTTTAGAAGATTTTTTTTTAAATTCCGATGAATTTTATGTAAAACTTTGATTACTCATCGCGTACCGAACGAACCAATGTGTCATTTTTTGAACAAACTTGATTCTTCACAACATGGGGATGTTTTATATAATATGACTAATCAGGTCTTTGCTGTAATAAAATGAAAAAGGTCTTAGCCTTCATTTGAACAAATTTAAATTTCATTTAAACAAAAAAACTTTAAATGCAAGTTTGAAACTCGCCCCGTTGCTCTTGAGAAAAGTCAAAAAAGTTTAAAGACAGTTGAGTGGACAGAGAAACAGGCGAACGGACACCGGACAGAATGTGTCAGAAAAGCTCAGTTAAGTCACCGTATGTAGTTGGCTAAAAGGGGTAGTGATTACATAAAAACGTGTAAGCGTTATAGCTTAATAATCTAAAATTGAAAATAAAATGAAAGAAAAAACAAAAAATGCATTTAATGTATCAAGACAAATCCATTTTTTGAATAATCATTAGCACATCTGTTTATCATAAAGCTGAATATATTTAATGGTGCATCATGTTACACCAGGTATTAAATTATATTATTTCATCAAAACATATCACATTACATTTTGCATCAATGTTATATAATAATGGAATCCTGTATAATATGCATCTCGGCGGGAATATATACATGTAACTGTGCGAGAAAGTATTCATTCAAGCTATATTCTTAATATTTCAGAATGATACAACTTCTTTGAGTCGTCGATAGGTATATTGAAAAGATCATTAGCAATTAGAAGGAAAATAAACTACTGTTCTGTAAAGTTTATAAAAAGAAATTTCTTACCGACTTGAGAATGCATATGTCGTTAAGTTTAAATTTGGTGAAAATATAACATCATTATGCGTCAGTTGCGTTGGTGGAGAGGAATCAAAGTACAAAGGCGTCACCCCTATTTTCGTATTACCCATAACATCTGTTGCTCTTATCCATATATTAATGATATCGCCGTCTTGTCTTGAAACAAAAAAGGTTTGAGTTTCTGAAAGAGAATCATTCACTTGGGTCCAGAAAACAGGTGTTGCGTTTCCCAGATTCCCGTGTTTATATGCATATTCAAATTTGGTTATGCCATAAATATTCTGAATTCCTTTTAGTGTTCTATTTCCATCTAAATCCTCCATTCTAGGATTTACATATTTTTTAATATTTGTTGTGAATTCAAAGTACTTATAAGGTTTCACGGGATTAAGCAATTTGTTCTCAAAATGAAATTTATTTTGAAAATGTTTTTTCCAAGAAATTTCAATCATTCCATCTAAATTATCCTGCCACATGTAACCTGTTTCTTCTTTTGCACTCGTTACTTTAATTCTTGTTGATGTTGTGTTCAGCACGGTTATTTTAGAGATTGGATCATATAAAACCAAAGTTCGAGCATATTCGGTGTTATTTGCGGCATCAACGACATTTAGCAGGAAGGAGTACATTCCAGGTTTTTCGGGTAAATGCACGAATGATGAGGATGTTCTATTTAATTCAAAGGTCTCCAATGGCCTCCAAGGATCTTTTTCACAAAGTTTTGGTGGAACTTCATTGTCAGCTTCTAGTAGATACTTCTGAATCACGTACTTTTCTATTCCTGACATATTGTCAACCCAACCATTCCATGAAAAATGGATTGCATGCTTGAAAAAAATAAGTAAAAAATGATTTTAAAGCAATTCATCTGTTTCGTACATGCATTTCATTGATTTAAAATCAGTAAAAAAAATATAATTTAACTTTTCATCATTATGAAAATAAAAAAAAATAGTAACCTTGGTTATATCTTCTTCGACGTTGAAGGCTATTGCTTGACATTTTCCATGCAGCAAACAGTGATTGGGGTTCACTAAATCGAATAGAAATTGTGTGCTTTTGCTGGCATTTTGTCCGATAAATGTGTTCACACGATCTCCATCTGGTGTTTTAAGCTTTCGATATCCTCCATTTGTTGCAATGGCTGTTAAAGTCAAGCTGTAAAAAAATCAACTTCAATATTTATTATACATATTGATAATCATGTAAAAGTGCTAATCAATAAAACCAAAATGTACCGACAGAAAAAGAACTACGTACTTGTCCCCATGTTCCAGAAGTCGGTCAAAATTTGCATTTGTTAAGTTGCACCAAAATACGTCCTCATTTGGTGAAATGGAACCAGGATTATTTGGACATTTAAGAATTGTACTGTTTATGCTTATAAATGCCTTTGATGAATCTAATTTACAAAGAAAGATAATTTATAATTGACAAAATAAATGTTTTTTTCTCTTTACATTATGAATTGCAGGTTATACCTGTATATACATTACACAGTATTTCATGACTAGGAGGGGGAACAATCAAAATGTTGTCTCTCAATAATAGGGAAGATCTGGATAAGTGTTGCCCGAGGCTAAAATCGAGTTTTCATGAAATTATTGTTTAATTACCGAATCCATAATATAATTTCTTAAAGTATAATTATGAAAGAATTTTCGATACAGTTACAACAGTTTGCTAAACAGGTGTATTCCATGCTTGGACCTAAGTTACAATGACATCGTCATGATTGACACTTAAAAAGTGCAATCCAACAGAAGCCTCTCGCCAATTAGCGAAGATGGCAGAGGATGAACAATTCTCATCATGGTTCATCATAGAGAACATATTTGACATCCCATCTATAGTCACAAGTACCTTCCCACGAGTACTTGATATCAGTCATTTATGCCAAAATATGCTTCATTTTCTACAGCATTCTTAAAAATAGTGGCGGTAAAGTATGGAAATTTTAACTACAGCGTCACAATAGATCAATTCAGCAATGCAACAGTTCATACTGTGACCAGATAAACATTTTTGACTGTTTTATTATATAAAAACATTAAAATAAAGCAGGAATTCGAACAGTTCTAAATGGCTGATTCAATTTTAAAAAGCTAGACAAAAATATACATTTTGAGCTCAAGAACGTAAATATAGAATTACCATTCCTATCCGATTTGCTTAAATCCATCTAGATCATTCCCGACACAATCCCAAACTTAAAATCGTCGATATACCCCGGAGAATTCACTCCATGTAGATTTTGAAATGTTGCAGAGAACTGTACGTTGATGAAGTTGTAGTCTTTACGGTTCACCCACCTCGTGCTGATCCCGGTGGAATTTGTTCCAGAGGAATCAGCCATAAACTTATAGAGTTCTCTCTTTTGTCCAGTTCTCTCTATGTTGGCAAGGAAAGAGCTGCACTGACTTATCGTGGGACTCGCCAATGACGTCACTAAATAGGTTAATGAAAATTATTGATTCATGCTAATATTTTTTGAAATTGCCACAAAATAATTTTAGATATTCTGTTTTTAAAGGTGCATGGACACAGACTTGAAGTTAATATTTTCTGTATAATATTACGACTTATATATTTTAATAGCATTTCACACAAAAATATACTAAAATCTTATTTCATCTAAAGGTTATTAAAACATTAAATTTTTAGACGGGTTTGATTAACACATCGAATCCATCCAAAAATTTGAAGCTTCAAAACCTTTAAGATGAAATAAAATTTTAGTATATTTTTGTATGAAATGCTATTAAAATATATATGTCGTTACATTATAAGAAAATGTTAACTTTAAATTATGCACCTTTAAGATATTAGGAAAAATAAAGAGAAACCCATTTTGTCTTACTTGATCTACATAAGTCTAATCCAGAATTGCCACTAAAACCTTCTTTACACTGACAGTGGATAGAATCGGTGCATGTTCCAGGAAAACAAGGCAAGTGGTATGAACATAAGGCTAAAATATAGAAACAATGTACCAATACTAGAGAAAATTTGGATTTTCCAGTGGACATCTGTGAGTAGCGCAATCGCAACTTCTTGGGCCTTTCCGACTAGCAAAAAAAGACCTCGAATGTATTAGGTAGACGCCATGATAATCCTTTTCAAGATCTTTGAAATAAATGCACGAAGACCTTTTATCTGTGAAATATGGAGTTAAACTTTATTCAATGTAATGATATAACCTAAAATATACTAAAGAAGGGACTTTTAACTCCGTCTATCCTATAGTTGAATAAACAGGAAATATAAAAATTTTAACATCCGGTGATGTTAATACATTCGAGATTCTTTTCCCGACCTCTTACGGAAAGAACTGAGATGATGCGATTGGTGAGTAGCGCTGACTTTTACATTGCACGGTTTTGTTTACTTTTACGCTAAGATAATGTACGGAAGCTCTTTCGTTACATAAAGGTTTAGCTCAACATTTAATCAAACGAAAATAACGTTTAATCTTTTGAAATAGAAGCAGGCATCAAATTATTGGCAAAAGTATTTTTTTTTATTCTTAAAGTCCAGGGAAAGGTTGTTGACCTGACCTGACCGTGCCTCTAATATAAAACGGTCAAATTAAATCTGAATGTTTCCATTCAATTAGAATTAGAAATATTGTCTTCTTCAATCTTTGAAAATTCCATTTTTTTAATACAATAAATAAGAGAAAAATTCATTACTTTACAATTTCCCTATTCTCGAAATTTGCGAAGTTTTCTTCCTGGCATGTTTTCTACCTTAGGTCTATTTGATTCATTAGAAAATAAAATCAAAAGGAGTTATTATCCCCTTGTGAAAATAGCATTTTAAAACCTTTTTTCTTTATAAAAAAGACATGTAAATCTTAATTCAATTTTTTTTCCTTTACCTAATGAATTTACTTTTTATTTAAAAAAAGATGCCATTAATTGTTCAAGGTATTTGCACATACGTATTTCACATGTAGCTCCTGTGTAAGTTGCCGTACACATACACTTGTTGGGAGCAACGCACGTGCCTCCATTTTTGCAACTGGGATTACACACGGCTAAAATTAAGAAAATAAACAAAATAAATGGTATAAACAATACATCGTATAGCTGAAGTAAATAATTTTATTTAACATATAAAGTATAACCCCACCATCACCATCTCGACCATCAAAATTAAAAGGCACTTACGGATTGAACAGTGAGACCCTGTGTAGGACGAGATGCAGGAACATGACCGTGACCTCGTGCACGTTCCACCGTTCATACAAGGTGGATCACATATAGCTAATCAGTGAAGAAAGAAAAAAAAGATTTATTTATTTGCAACATGCTCAGAAACTGGTGAAGAAGGGGAAAATAAATTTGGGATCTCCCATGATTTTTAGTTGGATGAGTTGTCTGTTCTTCATTCCTTAGCATTGGCTAAGTGATAAAACACACAACGAGCTGGATAAAAATTATAGCCAACTACGAATCATTTTGATTCCTTTGTTCCTATGTTTAATACATCATGATTAATATTTTTCACTGTTTTTATAAAGGACTCAGCAAAAAATCCAAAGAGTCCTATCCACGGGATAAAGGGGTAAGCAGAACATTAAAAAAATAATGATGAATAAAAAGATTAAGTCGGTAAATAACAGTATATAAGAAAGACAAAAGTTGAACATATACTAAAATGGCGCATGTCGTAATACTGTATAACATAAAAGAAGAGCGTGTGACAGATTTTATTTAATCAAATTTACACTTTCTAACATAAAATTATGATTTTGTTTTACTTTTCATGACAAACGTAAGCATAAAAGATCTAAGATTAAATAGTTTTTTGTTAAATCGAATGAATAGTTTCAATGTTATCTCTAGTAGTCTACTTTTTGCATGAAATACTAGTACTTAAATTGGTATGTATACATACGTTGATCGCATCTAACTCCTGAGTATCCGTTACACTGACATGAATTAGGACCAACACATCTTCCATTATTCTGACAGCGAGGTTCACAGACAGCTACATTGGGATTAAATTTGAAATACGTTGTTTAAAACACTTTTGTGAAATACTTTGTTTGATATACCTTGTTTGGAATACTTTAATGAAATATTGTAGAAATTTGATGATCAAGATTCTCACATGTTAGATTGTTATCAATGTCTTTCTATAGTAAAACACTCAAATAAGTAATAAGCGTGTCACTATCTGTGATGTATTTACACTTCGAGTTCTACAGTACAAATCGAATCAATTTATCAATCACCGATTTTTATTGAATAATGATTTTGTAAAATGTATGTTAAATACAACGTCATTGTCGGCAAATAGCACTTATTATTAACGACGTATTGTCAATTAATAATGATAATTTCCATTCCTACGTCGACACGATATATCCTGGTGAGCTTGAGATAAAAGATACCACAGAGCCCGACACTTCTGCTTCATACTTGGATATTTTACTTGAAAGAGACACTAATGGTAATCTAACAACCAAGCTCTATGATAAATGACTTTAACTTTTCTATCGTCAACTTCCCTTACTTATGCAGCAATATACCTTCATCACCTGCATACGGTGTATATATATCTCAGTTGATTCGATACGCAAGAGCATGCTCTACGTATGAACAATTTCTTAAACGAGGTAAAGTGAATAAGGGCTCGAGGTTTGACTTCTCTAGAGGAGACGCTTACTCCTCTATGGCACCTCATCCAACCTTTGATGTTTGTAGAGGCTCATTTTTCCTATGCTCCTGATTATCCATTCGAAGAGGAGTAGAAAGGGGTAAAGTAACGCTCTAGGCTGTGTGTGCATTTGGGCGAGTTTGTCGTTGTGTGCAAATGCGTATCGGATGTGATTAACATCAATGTGAAAAGCAGCTTTGCTTTATTGAAATGCTCTTTAGCGAGGATATGCTCTACTTAACAGTAGAGTGCCCTTGTATGTACCGCGTCAATAGAATCAGTTTTGAGAATTATTACTGTTCCTTTTCTTCATATTTCATCGATTGAATTTTATTCATTGATTATCTAATTGTAACATTTATAAGAAAATACTTAATTTGGATTTACTGAGTCTAGATTTGACATGCTTTACAAAAAATACTTTAAAAAGAAAGATAAAAAATTATAAGATAATAATTATTTCGTCTTTATTTAATTCATACGGAACTTATTAGTGCCAGGAATTTTTTTTTTAAATTGGTAATTACAACTTTGATCCTGGCTTTAACAACTTTAAAATTGGTAATTTCAACTTTTAATTTTCACTTTCACAACATTAATCTTCACTTTTCCAACTTGAAAACTTTACTCTTAGCTTTTTTAAAACTTAAAATCGATAATGCCATCTCTAAAGTTGATAATTACAACTTTTACCTTGGATTTTCCAAAATAAAAGATGACTTTTCCAACTTTAAAATTGATTATTCCAGCTTTAAAGTTAATCATTGCATCTTAATCGTTTATATCAAATACCTAATATTTATCTTATTTTTAAAGTTTATTCTTTCATAGAAAACAAAATGATATTTTATTCCTGATTTCTCAAATAGGTTTAGTTGAAATTCTGTCATGTACGAAGTTGTTTGAAGTATTCTCTATGTAATCATATAAGATAGATCAAATGAAAAAAGATAAAGGTTTTTATTCAAAGTTGGAAGTTATATGTAAGATCATACTGATGATAACTAGACACAGATTAACTTTCCCTTATTTATTTCATTGTATTTAGTTTGCATTTATAAAGTTTGTTATAGTCTAAATAAGGGGAAAAGCTAAGGGAGCGAGCTAAAAAGATCAAATTAATGTAGGAAAAGCCAAGATTACAGTTAGGAAAAACCAGCTTTTAAGTTGGAAAAGCCAAGATTACAGTTAGGAAAAACCAGCTTTAAAGTTAGAAAAGCCAAGATTAAAGATAGAAGAACCAAGATTATAGTTAGAAAAGCCAAGAGTTAAGTTGGAAAAAAACAAGATTTAAGTTAGAAAGCCAAGTTTAAAGTTGAAAAAGCCAAGTTAAAGGATAAAAAAGGTCAAGAATAAAGTGGGCAAAGCCAAGATTAAAGTTTGAATTACCAATATTGAATTTGGAATCACAAATTTTTAAGTTGAAATTATATATAAACTATAGGGATATCAAAATATTAATTTTCCTTAGTCGGTCATTCGATTGCATCATTCGAACGATAGTCGACTATTCGGAGCATTTATTGGTTTTTTTTTTACAGCACAGTAATTTTGAAAGATTATTAATTAAGATACATTGGAAAATTAAAATAAACTGGAAATGGGGAATTGTAAACACACACTATCCACACCTCCGATGACAATGTTATATACTGTTTGTTCAATTAATGATTGCCCAAGCTATATATCAAATGTCTTTTTTGTAAGATAATTGTTATAATAATTTTCGAACTTTAAAACTTCAAGGCTAAGCATTTGAAATTCCTAGAGTTTATAAATATAACTGGTACAAGTCAATTAAATAATTTCCAAAGTACAGTATAGCCTTGCATAATTTACTACGTATAAAAACAAAAAGTCAGTGATTGAGAAATAATTATCGCGGTATGTAATACTGTATGAAAATTATTTATATACTGTGACTGTATTTGAGCTCTTATTCATCTGAGGACGTACACTATACAGCTGTATAGTTTGAGGAAGGACCCTTTTTCAATTTTGAAATGAAAATTTCAATAACACCCCCTCTTCTTGCATTTATTTAATGTCGAATGTTGTTTCATTATTCGATCTGCGGTCCATTCGAATGACAGTCGAATAGTCGACTATTCGTTGACATCCCTAATATAAACTATACAGTTGAATAATTCAAGATTTAATTTGAGATTACCAACTGTAAAGTTATAAAAGCCAAGATTAAAGTAGGAAATGTCAATTTTAAAGTAGAAGTTATCAAGTATATATAAAAAATATTATGCTGCACTTATGCGCTTCAGAAGAAAAACTTACGAATGTTGCATTTTTGACCCGTATATCCCCCATAACAAGTACAGCGATTAGGACTTGAGCAGTAACCATGTCCACACCCAGCTGGGCACAGAGCTGAAATAATAATAAAAGGAAAAGAAGTCTTAAAGAGTTCTATGATTATCTTTCTGCTTCTGCATTAAGATGGATCAAAAGTAAATGGAGGAAAGTTAATCGAATACCATTTTTAGTACTCCATTCTTGTCCCTTCAGATAAGTTTTTAATAACGTAATGTTATTATAATGTTTTATTGCTATATTTGTTAAGAAATTTGCATTCTGTGTGAATATAAAGTTTGTAATAGATAGGCATCTATTGCAAGTGCATAGTAACAGCTAGAGCTCTTCCATTCACATTTCAATAAACTCAACTTAATGTTTCATCGTGTGAGACTTCAATGATTTGTTATTGTTCCTCTGCGGGTGAAAGTTTTCTCTTCGTTTGTCGTCCCTCTTGGTTTCCTGCACCGTATTTTCTTAATACTTGCATATAATACTAGCTGATTTTTGGCATTTGAGTTTGCCTTGATGAGTCAGTTACAACTTTTAAAGGAAATCAAATTAAACTTGCTCGTTGGGGTTTATTATTACTAATATGATACCCTCAGAATGCTTGTTGTTCAAGGAAATGGATAATAAAATCATTGAGAAATGATATATTTAAATTAAAGTTTTTGCTCATTTATGAAATATCTTTTAAACTCATAAATTCTTTCTTTATTTTTTTCATACAAAAACTCACGAATGTTACATCTTTGACCAGTATATCCTTCATAACAAGTGCACTGATTGGGTCTAGAGCAATATCCATGTTGACAACCATAAGAGCACACAGCTGAAAGGAAACAAAATGCAAAATTCCACGGATGAAATATGCTCACCTTGTTAGTTATTGCCCGACAATAAGAAACTTTTAGGGCTGAATTCAAATCGATTGCGGCTTAGTTTAGCCAAAAGGATATGGATAATAAGGTATATTTCTAACAAATTATGAATGGATAATTAATTCATTTTAATGATAAACGCAAAGTTACTTTCTTAACATTGATTTTTCTCATACAAAATCTTTAAATTCGAAAAATCTTATGAACACTAGTTCGATATGACCTAATTATATATCCACATTAAGGAATGGTGCATTGACATACTGTAATTTAGTGTTGATATAAAATAAAGATCTGTTCATATTTTGTTAATCACTTTTACACACCACGTTATAAAGCTCTGAGAAAAGGTAAGATATTCATCTCACATCGTGATGCTATCGGCGTAAAATAAAGATACATTCATATCGTGTATTATTATGCTTCCTGTCAGTTTGTCTCTATATAATTTAATTTCACTTGTATCAAGCAATTTCATTGGCTGAATCATTCAGAGGAACATATAATATTTTGGATAACATAACTTGCCTACGTCACAATGAGTAACGTCAAAAATGTATAACTCCGCTTGAAGTTACTTTTAAAATAATGCTCATTTGAAGTCTTTTTCCGGAGGAAATATTGACTCATTGTCTACACTAGAATTGAATTATAAGGAATGAAGCTAATTTCAACTTATGTTATCCGATATAACAAAACTTGGGGCAGTTTACGCTTTTTTATGAACCGCTTCGCGGTTTATAAAGCGTAAACTGCCCCAAGTTATGTTATATCGGATAACATAACTTGAAATAAGCTTCATTCCTTAAATAATATATATAAACTTAGTTTCAAATATTTTATAATTAAAATTAAAAATAAACAAAATAATTCTTCTAAAATAGTTTCTTGCAACCTCCCTTCCTTCACTCAAATAATATACTCTAAAACTATCTGTAGATTATACCTAAAGCATGGAACGTTCAAATTAAACAAAAAGATTATGACGTACATGTTGCATAAGGTGACGTCATAATAAAGCAGACGAATGTTACGGGTGATGAAACATTGGGAATGAAGAAAATATTGCCGTTTTTATACAGTAACAACAGTCAGCATAATAATAACAATAGTGTTGTGTTTTGCGTGCACTATGCCTAAATAGTAGTCAGGGTTTGACACATGGTGCACTCCGGCTCGTGCACCATGTGTCAAACCCTGACTACTATTTAGGCATAGTGCATGCAAAACACAACACTATTATATAAATAATGCTTTGATATAATAGAAATATACTAACAAAAAGAAATGGACTTTGACTTCACGAAATGATAAGTTTACTTATAGAACACAGGTACGAAAAATTCACTTAATGTAATGCAGTTTTGACTTCACATATTAAAGTCGCTGCAGAACTGTAGCTCTCCGAAAAGAAACATATCGACAGACCAGAGAGCTACAGTGCCACCCATTGAAATGGAAATCATCGAAAATTTCGTCTATTTATACTGCCATTTTGATTTGCAAGATAGAACGGTCCATCGCGCTTCGTGAAGATGTCAACAACGAGAGTACTCAAAGAGAAGTAAGGAATTGTTTGAAATCTAGCTTTTTTGCAGAAGGATAAGAATTTGATAGAATTAATCCAGACCAAGCGTAACTTTTGGTGCGCAATAAATATACCGTTTTTTCATAGGTGGCACTGTACATGTAGCTCTCAGGTCTATCAATATATTTTTTTCCTGAGAGCTAAAGTTCTGCAGCTTATATCAAAGAAATGAAATGATGTAAAGTCTGAACATTCAGTTTTAACACAATGTGAAAATATTTTCACTTCACATAATGAACTTCTTACTTCAAACTATACAGCTCAACAAACTTTTTAAGCTCACATGGTTTTTCGCACAAATTAAGGTCACATTTTTGTAATACAAATTACCATTTTGGAACTGCAGTACAATGGCATAACCCTTCTTTATATTACAGATATAATGTAAAGCATAAATGTCTTTTGAAATTATTATCTTAAGTTTCCAAAGTGGATGTTTTAAAGGAAAATTTATGAATAAATGGTAGGATGTTTCGACTATACGATTCTACCATAGGTTTTTACAAATTATATAAAACGAGCTTTCCTTGACCCCATGTAGTTGAATTTTTTAAATTTTCTTCTTAAAGGTGAGTATTTTTGAAAATTCTTAGCTCATTTACCATACTCCTCTTGGTTTCATCAAAATGTAGCGCCCAAAAGCGATAATATTGCAAAAGGAAACCACACTAAAGGGCAGGATAATGAAGTATTGTTTATTTTTTTTAATAGTAAATTCCTTCTATGAAAAGGAAAATTCTTCTGCATTTACGGTTTGAAACGTTAAAATTTTGCAGTGGGATGAATTTTTCATGATTTTAGATTTTAGAAGTTGACTCCTAAAAATTTCACCTTATTAACATAGAAAGCAGTCAAACATATGAAAAATACTATTACCACCCTGAGTTAAAAAGTCAAAATGTACAGAAAATACAAGTTACAGTAGCTGAACTGTACCCATGTCTACGTTTCTGTCAAGAGCTATTGCTTTCAAAAGAACGGATAAAAAGACAGTTACAATTGGCAAGAAACTACAAAAATTCAAATGAGAATAGTTGCTATTTTTCAGCCATGAATAAATCAAAGTTCTACCAATTGATTTCTGTGAATTATGTTTCAGTAAATGAAGTAAAACTCAAATTATGTAAACAAATACTTTTAAAATGCATTTTGTTGTCTCGATACACAATATTATATAATAAAAATGTGACCTTAATTTGTGCGAAAAACCATGTGAGCTTAAAAAGTTTGTTGAGCTGTAAAGTGCTGACATAGTGGAAGAATGCATTTACTTCGTGTTATGCAGCATTGAAATAATGTTCAAATGTTTTTACATCACCTCATAAAAATTTGACATAACGTAAAGATATGTTCACATCACGTAATGATAACTAGACTTAATGAATGCATAGTTTTATGATATAAGGCAGTAGTTGCGTTCCATAGTTATATCTTTTAGATGTCAACGAGTACCCGGTTAACTCGAATGTATATTTTTTATTATTCCAAAGTACAAATATTTATCAAAAACTTATATAAAAAAAAATGTGCATACGATAATTAGAGTGCCGTTGCATACACCTGTAAAACACCCGTTATCGCCTGTGGCTGTTTACTTGTACAGTAATCAGTGACACAAACTAAACTTTTATTCTTCTTGAAGCGTAACTTGTTTTGCAGATGTAGAAGCATCTGCGATTCACAAAAAGGCCTAATTAACTGCTTATAAACCAAAGTTTGCAAATGTTAAGATACAGTCCAAAATATTTTGCAAAATCCGATATTTCTGCAGTGGAAAATCACAAGGTAATTATAAGTTATATTTACTTACGTGTTTGGCAGGAAAAACCCGACCATCCACTGCAGCATGTATAACGAGTGACAAGTCTTGAATGTTGAACCCGTGCGTGTTCAAAACTACAGTAAAATCAATGCATTCATTTAATGTTAAGTTTGATGGTTAAAATTGGATTAATCAAAACATATTAATTTTCATATTTCAAGATACTGACCATATAAATAAGAAGTTTGTAACACATTCGTATTTATGGTAATACTCAACTCCCCAATAGCTGCGAGTGCAACTGAAAAAAAAAACATACTTTTAAAAATAAAATAAAATGGGTACATAAAATTAAATAAAAAATAGAAGAGTGAACGATGGAATACCATTTCACGTCATGTAAGAAGAGGAATATCAAGACAGCCAAAACACATTTCATGATTCTTTTTTTCTTTTGCTTTCTATAAAACGGCTGTGTTGCACTGAAGTTCTGCAATGAATCAACTGACCTAAAATCGATTTACATTTTTATCAGTCTCGAACATTAGGTGTAAAATTTACAAACCAATAGATTGTAAGCTGATATAAAAAGAGGCGGTAACCACTCTCAAGCACAAAAAAATAAACTTTTTCTGATTTGATAAAACATCCTATCATTACGATTTTCAGCTTGTCCTGGGCAACTTAAAGTAAACTGATTTGTTAGAGCATATCCTCATATATTTATCTACTTATTGGCAAAGTTTTGAATCATTGAAATTTAGTTTGTTTCTTCTGACTTTGATCCAAATCAAAATTTGATAATTTGACAAAATAATATCTCCGTGTTGTTTTTTTTTTCAAGATGGTGTCAGTTAGTGTGATTGTAGCAATTGCCGACAACGTCTGTGCAGTTGATCTTAGATATTGCCCCTTTTAGGCTAATCATTTTTCTTGTAAACGGTAAAAATAAAACAAAAGATTTAAAGAAAATATAAGAATGGTCTGTGTGGTGGAGTATAAGTAGGAGATGAAGGTAAAGAATAAAGTACTAAAGAATAGAAACCCTAACAAAAATTTGTTATAACTGTGGAGATGTTGAAAATATGTCGCACCTTCTATTTAATTGTAATGCCTCAATTTTAATATGGCTTATTATAATTTCAGGGTTTAAGAAAAGTTGGAAGCATTTTGTAAAAGGTTTCATGAAAGAAAAATTACTTATAATATGAAAAAATATTTTATTATCCTTCATTGCTTTAATTTTTTTAATACATTAAGATGAAATGTAGACTGACAAATACAACTTGTAACGAAGGTTCCTTGTATGATTTTTGAACATCTTCGAACAAGTATAAATAAGTTGCCGAATTTTCATATTACAATGTACAGATGTATAAATTGTATGAATATAAATGACAATATATGTTGCTAGCGGGTCCACGAAATCAGTTGTGGCGACTCATAGTTACCACTGGGAAATATGAACTGAATGTGTGGAAGGTGGTCTACCATGCCAACATATTGTAATTCTCTATACGTCCATTATAATTATTTAACATTTGTCATTATTATTATCATTATTATAATAATCTTCT